TGTCTTGAATAAACAACTTATACCTAATTAGCATTACTAATTGGACTTTAAGAAAACTGAATAGCTTAAACTGTAGCTGTTCAGTTTATAGGGTAACGGTTAAATTTTCCAGATCCTACCGCGAACGCGCTTCGCGGCAGATGAGACCCATAAATGTTGCTGCCTTGGGCACTGCTGTTCTCTTGGACTAATCCCTGCGTATCTATAAAAATGCACTGAGTTAATTGTGTACTTAATTCTACTCAAAATGGTGTGCCTTCTGGGACCTTTGAAGTACTCTTACTGGTATCCTGCGTTATTGCACTTTCACTTAACCCTTGCAAACTTGTTTATTTATCCATCGATTTTCATCAGTAGTAGGGTTTTAAGTCGCAAAACAAGCAGATATTGGCTAGTATATACTAATATACATTTTGAAAGGCATTTTTTTCTGTTCGCAAAGCTCGAGAAAGGCCGTACCGATTTTTTTGAAATTTCAGAATCTACTGCCGACTTTCCAAGGGTGGTTATAGGCTAAAAAAAAGTTTCGATATAGAAAGGGGGCGTGGCACCTCCCATACAAACCGAATTTTTCAAACTGCATTTATTTGTGGTAGAGGACTGGAACTGGGTATGGTGATATATACATATATAAGACCCATTCCATACTCATGGAGAAAAATTTGCATGGTTGGAGAATGGGGCGTGGCACCTCCCATATAAACCGAACTTGGTAGACTGTAAGCCTTTTTAAAACTCTTTAGTTTATAGTTTTAGTTATCAATTTAACTGAGTTACAATTTCCAAATAGGTGGCAGCCCCCCTCAAAAATATTTCCAACAGTTATATTTCTTAAACCTCTTTAATTTGATACCCATATTGTAATATTTTATTTATTTTATCAATGTAATTTAGTTAAATTTTCAAACAGATGGCAACCCTCCTCAAACATATTTACGGCAGTAAGCCTTCTTCAAACTCTTTAGTTTGACACCCACATGGCAAGATTTCATTTTTTTTACAATTTGACTGAGTTTAAATTTTCAAATAGGTGGCAACCCTCGTCAAAAATACTTCCAGCAGTTATCTCTCTTAAACCTCTTTAACTTGATACCCATATTGTAATAATTCCTTAATTTTATCAATATAATTGGGTTTAAAAATTTTAAAATAGGTGGCAACCCTCCAAATTTTTGCGATATAATTGGTTCTGGTATTATACCGAATAATAAAAAAAAAAATTATTCAAATCGGTTCAGCCGTTTTCGGGCTTTGATGACCGTGACATACGAACACAATATTTTTATATATATAGATATACATAGAAGATGTCCAGTGTGTGCTTTCGATTTCAATCTTTGACCACAACAAAAATTCCACATTGTACATTCGTGAATGAACTTTCAGTTTCTCGATTACTTTTACAATTCCTTTAAGTAATTGAAAAAACTAAGTTACTCTTGCAATTCCAGGTAATGGAATTGAAAAAAAAAAAAAAACCAATTACATTTTCAATTCCTTTCAAAAGAATTGGAAAAAAAATTACATTACTAGCACGTAACTTATTCCAATTAGAATATGAAATTCCTTGTAATGGAATTAAAGAAAAAACCAATTACATTTGAAATTACTTCAAGGAATTGAAAAAGTAATCGATTCCTTTGCTGTGGACTGAAGGAATTTATTCCTAATTACAATTCCTTGTAATCTGTAATTGGGAGTAATTTAATTCCTAAAGGAATCATTACGACCCAGCTCTGTCCATTATGCTCTAAAAAACAAAATGTTTGAAATGAGAACATTTGTGGTCAATATCCTAGGCTCGCCCAAATCCATCAAAGTTCAAGTACTAAAAAAAAATTGTTTTCTTAGCTAACTTCCATTGGAGGATATTGACCAAAAAATTACAAATTTCACACAGATTTAAGAAAAGTTGCCTAACTTCGACAATTTTTATGCGATTGCTATCAGTTTATTTAAAAAGTGATTTATTTTTAGATAGTACTACATCTTTTGAAATTGTGGAAATCATTGATGATCAAAATTTTAAAAATCAAGAGATATATGGGTTTTTTTATTTTACCCGATAAAAAATCCCAATAAGCCAAGTCCGACAATAGATTATTATATCTATACATCCTCTTCTCGGATCATATTCGATCTTTGACATCAGATCAAAAGTAGTCATTCAAAAATCCAAAAAAACTACAAAATCGTATTTACTGACCTAAATGACCTTTAAAAAATCTATAAAAATAAGCAATAATATTTCCCATAAAAGCGAATAAAATTTAAATTTCCAAAAAAAAACTTTTTCGATGGGCACCCAAATGTGTATATTTAAACAAAGTACTCAGTACTCTCAAAAGTACACGATCCTTAATAGTATCGATGCTAAGTATCATCAAAAGTACGATACTTCCCAACACTAATTATTACAATGTGGATATAAATCGAAATGGCTTTGGAAATTCCTTTATTTCTCAACTCCAAGTTGAGGTAGTAGGGAGGAAGTAGAGTTGCCACATATTCGAAAAAGGAAGGAAGTAGTGCCAAGAAATCTTTTATAGGTGAAAATGTTTTATTTCTAAACTGCATTTGAGAGGGTTGCCAGCTGTTTAGAAAGTCAAGTTCCATTTCATTTATCTTTTAATTTTAAGCTTGCCAGCTATTGGAAAGTAAATTTAATTTGAATTATACATAGATCATATAAATTATCAAAATATGAGTGTCAAACGAAAGATATTTTAAAAGCTTTAACTTATAAATTGCTATTTTTTATGGGTTGGTCCATTTGATTGGTACAATACAGGGTGAAGTTAACTTTATTTATTGTCTTGGATAGGGGTTCAAAGTTATGCGGTGTGTATATCGTTTTTAGATAGCTTACAAAGGTGTTAGTCTTTTCCGAATCCCTTTTGCCCATTCGTTGCTTTCCTTTTTTATTGCAGTTTCTATCAAAGTGGATCTCTAGAATTTGCTCGCTGCTTTCCAGAGTGAATATTTAGTAGTTGTAAATCCATCAGTACTTTTCAGACATTGTCGAGTTTGAGAGTTTGTTAGCTTTTTTAATCGTTTTCTATCCTCAGGGTATATATTTTGTTGACACCTTTTCTTTACCAGTTGTTTTTTTTTCTTATTTTCGTCTTTACTGCTAGAAAGATTGATACATTTCTTCCTTTTTCAAGAGGTGGTGTTGAATTCCACGCGGCTTGCTGGAAACAATTGTTCATGTGTTCTAATAGAGTAGTAAGGTTTTCTTGAGATTTAAGAGGTAAAGTCAAATAACGGGCGTAGGAAACCATAGATAGGAAAGTATTCCAGTATAAAACAGGAGAATGATCAGAACACAAATCGAAACAAGAGCTAAACGCTACTTCTGAGGGCACAATGTTTTTAAGTTGGGTATTTTCTTCGTATTAGTTGGCCAGTATGTAGCTTTTCCAGGCGAGAGTAAAAATAAATTGATATTTCTGATAGCAGCGTAGAGTTGTCGTACTTAAGAAGTGATAAGGCGAGAGCCCCAAAGGGTGTGATTTGAGTTTTAATCGCCTCCAGCTATGAACCTATTTTCAAGAAAATCGAAAAAAAAGTATTATATAAGTACGTATACCTTTCGAACAAAATTTTCCGGTCATGTGTGTTTACTTACTTTTAGGCGCACATGCAGTTCTCGCCTATGGCTAGTTAATTGTTGACACGTAAAGTGTTAAAACTAGTTATTTTATGCGAGATAGCTCAGCCAGTACTATAAATACCGCGGATTAATTTTGGTTCAATAATTGTCACTTCCAAAGCATTTATCAAAATATCATTGCAAAATATTTTATGAAGTTACAACAACAACGACGATAAAGTATTGATTACCGAAAACCAATGATCTCAAACCAGCATTGTTAAAAACAAAAAAACAACAACAAACTTGAACCAATTGCAGTGAAAACTACACACAATTTATTGTTGTTGGTTTTTGTTTATGTACATTTGCGTTTGCAATAGGAATACATGGAGTGTCTATACATACATAAATTTTTTTTTTTGTATGATATATAGCCATTTCTGAAACATAAGTGTGCACATACATACTATGTATGTATGTATTTTTGAAAGCGTTTTGAGTTGGTTGGTAATAATTCTTCTTTCTTTTTTCTTAATTTTCCCAAATGCTGCATGCAAGTAAATATTCTCCTTTGAATTGTATGCGTTTAATAAAGCCAGTAGGTACCTGAGTAAATTGCTTAGTTACTTTGTATTTATTATTACAATTACAAAACAAAAAACAGCAAACAATTATTTATGTAAATATAAAGTTATAGTCGTCAGTTTTAATTATTTTACACAAAGCATAATTTTTGTGCGAAGCAAGAAACGCGCTTAAACTAGTATGTATTCGAAATTTAAAAGAGTAGGTTCTTGTGCAAAAAAAAAAAAAACATTTAAAGCCCCTTTTGTATATCTTTCGTCTAAAATATTTAAGTTGATGAAAATTGAAGAAAAACGTATTGTAACAATAATTTTTTGTCTACATAACTACTAAACAACATTTTTGGTAATAATTGATATTTTGTTTGCTTTTCTTTTAAAGAACAGCACATGTAATGTTTAACGTTTTTTATATATTTTTTTATTTTCTAAGTTTGTATTAACTCTCAACTTGATTACTTTTTCTCACTTTTTTTTTTACTTAAAAATATACATAATGATAATAAATTTCTTCTTTTATTGTAACAGCAAATAGTTTTCTTGTTGTTGTAAATTGTTCTTCATCTTTTTTAGCTTAGCTGTTGGTGCGCATCCGCCGCAGCCATGATAAACAGAGTGATGATAATGTTGAGAGTTGTTCCACCTCGTTTTGTCTTCTTTTAATTAGCCTCTCCTTGAATAGCATTAAAACTCAGTAAACAATTTTGGATGTTAATTTGTTTTATTATTGTGGTACATGGGTTGTTGATGCGTTTCAAGATTTACATTTTTTTTTTGCTAAATTCGCACGCAACTGGTGGGAGGAAGAGGCAGCGAGGTTATTTTTTTTTGGTTGTAGTTACTAATTATAGTTGTGTGATGTTCTTGACTGTTTTTGTTGTTTCAGCACAACCCTCTTTATTCTCTTGGTTTCCTTGGCTTTGGTTTTATTTCTTCTACTAATTTCTAGTAGCCTATTCGCTTTGCTGTTGCTGTTTTGATGACTTAATATTTTTCCTTTGTTCTTTCTTTTGCTTGTTGTTACTGTTGCTACGCCACTTTTTATTCTTAATAAATAAATTGCAAACAATAATCCATCTCTCACTACTATAGGTATATAGTTAAGCCTGTATCTCCTTTCTAATAATGTAGTACACCTCGTCATGGTTTTAGCACCATCGCTCCTACTTTGTGCTTACTAGAGTTGCTGTTATGGTTGTTGTTGTTGTTTTGCATTTAGTAGGCGTGATTGGCAACGAAGAGTGCAGCATCAGCACCAGCACCGACCACACTACCGGCAACATATTTGCCCACAGCAGATTCACCGTTAGCCTACGAAAAGGATGAAATAAGAAAATAATAGAAGTAAAATGATTAATTGATTTTGTAATTAATGAGCGATTATTATCTAAGATTAAATAAAATTTGCTCTTTCCTTAACTAAAGTTTAAATTGCTAAGCTTAACGTTTACTTAAGTCCACTTAACATAAAAATTTTGAGCAAACACTTAAGTTTCTACCCAAAATATGATTTAAGACCTGTTTTTAGCAGATGTTGCTCCAACTAGGGATCGAACCTAGACTGAGTGATAGTACGCACATCTAACCATTCGGCTACAAAGGAGGCCGCGAAGTTAGAATGCCATACCAAAAATTATCTACATACTTTTTCGACTTCTTCTAGATTAAGTTGCATCTTTTCAAGCAAAGCCTGAAATACGTATGCGTTTCACAATAAAAAATAAATACAGTTTTTATCTGAGCAAGAACAAACAAAAATTGCAGTTAAAATTTGCTTTATAATTTTGAGCAAAAATTGTCGGCCATTATTTTTTTGGTATTTAAGAACAACAAAGTTGTGAATTTCTCAAAAAATGTTTACGAATTCAGAAAAAAATTCCTAAACGGTCCAAAGGATTTCGAAATGTCCCACAAGCAGCGCGAAAGCTCTCAATATAGCTCGAAAACTCCAAAAAAAAGAGGCTAGAAAAATCCTTAAGATTCCTAAAAAAAATCCAAAAGAACCGAAAAATGTTCACAAAAATGAGTTATAGTAAAAAAAAATAAAGAAGTCTCGAAAAAAATTTCGAAATTAATACAAAAAAATATATTTCGAAAATTTAAAAAAAATTTCGAAAAAAAAAATCAAAGAGACTCAAAAAGCGCGTACCCTTTTGTTATTGTTATTCTAGCGTAATAATATTTATTTCAAAAAAGTTAATAAGCTTTATACCACGATTTGTTTTTAGGAAAATAGGACATTTTATTTATTTTTTTCAATGGCGCCAAAATTAAAGGAAAACTCTTCTGGCATTGCTTATTCAAAATCTCAACCAAAAAAATTATTTAAAGCACGAGAAAGTCTTCTAAATTTGAAATTTACAAATATTTTTTATTTGCGGTCGCTGTGATGTAGCGGTTAGCAGTGGGCGCTGCCATTCAGCAGGACCTGGGTTCGAGCCCAGTTTCCTATGAGCATAAAAAAAAAACGAAAAAAAATTATTTCTAATATCGGTCACCCCTCGGTAGGCAATGAATGGCAAACCTCCGAGTATATTCAGCCATGAAAAATAGCTTCTCATAAAAATACCATCGCCGTTCGGAGTCGGCGTAAAACTGTAGATCCCTCCGCATTGTGTGACAACATCAAGGCGCACGACGCATTTCGCGTCAGTGTTATTTATTTTCCATCTCTGTTGTTGCTGTTAAAGTATCGATTGACATCACACATCATTGACAATGAGAGTTGTCATCATTAGAGCGCTTAAAATTTTCGGCATAGCTTTAGGCGCAGTAGCAAAGATAATGGCCAGCCGTTGAGTTTTGTCATTGGCGTGGGAATAGGGCTGTGAATCTCCTCTGCTTTATGGAGTTTTTTTCACTAAGTACTAACTAACTAGTTATACCTCTTTCAGTTAAACTAATATGCATTTTTTTAAGAGCTATTTCGTGTGCTAGATGTGTTCAAACAACAAATTTGTATTGGATATTCCCAGCTCATTTGCCAATATTTGATGATTTAGTAGGGTACTCAGTCAGGAAATTGAATATATCTCTCTCTCTCTTTACTCTTTAAAAATATCGATGCTACAAATGTATCGGAGAGAAGTACTCAATACCTACTCGTATCGAAATCATTATAACATTCAGTGGAACTAATTTAATTATTTTGGAAATGATTATTAAGCTTTTTAACGCGCTGTTGAAGTCCAACCCTCTAACTGCTCAGCCTTACCGCCATTTTATTTGATTTGCTTCATACAAGTTAAGATAGCATACAACTTAAGGTATAAACGTGTTGCCAAAAGCACTATAGCATGTTTCATATATTGTCACTACCAAACTTCCAAATAATTGGAAAAGCAAGTGAAGACTTTAACCGCGTACTCGATACCCACCTAAGTACTTGTGAGTATTTATTCGTAGTTTCTTGTATTGGAAAAACACTAACTATATGTAAATGCTTCCAGGCAGACCTTTTAAATGGGCTTTCTGTTTGTATATTCTATTCGAGATTCTTCGAATAGCCCTGCCATTGACAGTATATAAACTAATAAGAAGGGTATGTTTCCAAGATAGTCAAATTGAATTTTTACTGCCGTCCCTTTTATTTCGAGTAAATGTTTCCCTTCCAGAAGAAGCTTGGTTATAAGGCCAAAGAGACTCTGGCCAATCGCTTTCAAATATCGAAAAAAAAGTTTTTTGAAGAATTGATTATTTTGTCTTCTTATTTGTCCGTTGGAGTTTGAATCGGTGTTGCTATTTTCCGCCTTTTTATTTGGGTTTAGCCGGAAAAATCTTGACTACATAGTTTCTAGCTTTTTTCTTAGCCTTTTCCGCCTTTAAAAATGATCGAACGGCAAGCATTAGTTGCAAGACGACACCGTGAATTTCTACACGGATGGGTCGAAGCATGACCAAAGTGTCGGTGGATGGTTATTTCATGCAGGGCGTCATCATCAGGCATTGGCATGGAAATTATCCCCAGTCAGACTCATTTGAGTACCAGGCCATATTGATATTGCAGGGAATCGCGTTGCGAATATGTTGGCCTGCAAAAATGCCCACGAGTCGTACTCACCGGATAAAGAGTGGGAGTACTTGCTCTTTGTTAAGTGATACTAAACTATTGGTTTTCACGCAATGGGGCTAAATATCGTACCGAATCGTCACTAACACAGCTGTTTACAGACCAATGAAATGGAATCATGTGGTAAATGATTCCTAAGCTGCTTAGAGTTTGTGAGGCTATGAAAACTATTTACTTAAGTACAAAATAAGTTGCCCCTACAAAAATGTATATTTTTTTCCTAGTTATAATAACGACCAAAAATGTTTGATTTGTTAATTTAGCTTTGTTTAGCCAAAACTAAAGTTTAGATTTAGCTTTTTTCAGCTTTTTTTTTGCCAATTTCGTCTTTTCTCTGAAAAAGTTCTGGCAACACTGGTTTAAATTGGTGTTGGGAACTATCGAGTACTTTTGAGGATCGATACTTTTAAGTATCAGGTATTTTTCAGACTACCGAGTACTTTCTTTAAATATACACATGTTGGTAACATTTCAATTGTAGAAATCTCACAAGATGACGGTGTTTTATTTAAATTAATATATCAATCCCAAATTACGTCAAATTTATGAATAACTATACCGGGCACAAGTATTGTACTTAAAAATTATTGAAACTACAAATTGAGTACAATAATTTCTGAATACCGTTAAATGTAAATAAAACTCAGTACTCTTTAAGTCTATTCGACACTTAATACTGAGTACTTTGAATCGATCCTGAGTGCATGTATCAAAGCGATTATTGGAACAGAGCATTTTTGAATACTGAGTACTTTCGGGTTCGTTTAAGGTCTGAGTACTTTCGAGTTCCTTTTTCGAGTACTGAGTACTATCGAGTTCTTTTGTGAGTACTTAGTTCTTTGGAGTACTTAGTATCGATACTTTTAAAAATCGGGTGCTGTCGATCCTTTTCAGAATCGAGTTCTGAGTACTTTTGATATCGATACTGCCTAACACTAGTTTCAATGCCATTAATCTCGATTTGTGTAGAGTCTGCGAGGCGTATGAGTAATATGTATGTATGTATGTATGTGGAGTCAGTTGAATGGATATGTACTACCCAGTCAGCACAAAAATCCGAAAATGGATCCGAAAACAGAAAGAACATTGGATGAAATGCGGATTTTTGCCCACTTATGGATTCCATTTGAGGGGACTTTGACGATCCGTTTTCCAACTAAAGTGTGTGGCAGAAATTTGCGTCTAGAGAAGTACTGAAAATGGTTGTGAAACGGCTAAGTTCTCGAATGTTTTACTGATATTTTTTCGTATAGAATTTTACATTAACACCTTTCCTTCTGTATTTCACAGATGCTTTTTCATAGTTCAGAATAAAAAAAAACGGAAAATAATCTTTTTATTGCGTCTTGACGGCATTGGAACCCAAAACTACTGGAAGCTAACAAATAACATCACGCCTCTCTGCACGTTTAGCTACAGCCAAATATATAACTTATATTATGACTCTAAATCGTACATTTTTGCCTAATACCCAACACTGCCAGTTAGAAGTGCTTTTATTATTTTCATATATTCCAGCCATGAAGCCTCTTTTACTGTTCGTTACTCTTGGGACAAGAACTTGCTTTCTTAGATGGTAACTGCACCAACTAAGATTTCGTTCCTGTCTTTTCAATGAGCTCCAAAACTATATGTAGATATTTTTACTTGTAGTTAGTTATACTTATTTTACAAGCCTGGCGTAAGTAAAGCCAAGATTCGAAAAATATATGATGGGAAAAAGAAAACATAACGGACACTGATGGTAAGATATCGGATAAACCGAAGGTGATTTGAGTGGAATATCAAGGCAATTGAAATAAGTAGCAGACTAAAACGGGTTTTTTCGTTACTAGTTTTCAAACAATTTTTCTCGAACATGGCGAGCGAAAGTAAATGTTTATGAAGAAGCCGTCATAATAGCGGTAGTAAAAATGTTAGAAAAAGCGAAAACTTGTTTTTATTTGCAAAACAATTAAATTATATCTAGTGAACTATGTATGTATGTATGTATGTATGTATATGTATATAAAAGTATTCTAATGTTGGATTTTTTTATATTTAATTATGCTTAGAAAGCTATAAAGCAAAAATCATTGCTGCGTAAACGTGTGTATATAAATGTTTGTATAAAAATTATATATAAAAATTATTACAAAAAATATTATAGTCTAAACTACATAATTAATTGCAAAAGCTCCACTGTATCCTTCCAATAAATGTACTGGATTTAAAATTTTTTTTTTGTGCGTATGTGTTGCATATGTATTTGTGTGCAATCCACCGCATGTGTGCGCGCGTGTGTGAGTGTTCGTAGTTTTTTTTTGTAAATAAGTGCAAATAAAATGTGAATATAATCTGGTGTAAATTTCGTTTCTTTTGTTTAATATTTGTGCGAGGCCACAAACAAGCTGGTATTGGCCGCAAACGAAGGTATTGAACCGGCTACGTAGATTCCTTGACATGCGAGTCCATTTGCCTGCATTTGGATACATTTTGTGTATGCATACGAAGCAGATGAATAATGGCAGCAGGAGCAAAGATTTTTGTAGCGGTACAAAGTGTTGCGAAAGTGTGCGAGTATACATATTTTTACGCGTGAAGATAATATAAATTCAAAAAGTGTTTAGTGTAGAAATTAGAACACAAAGAAAAATGTATAAAATATAAAACGTACTACAGTGCGTAAATTAAGTTTAGAAAAGTTTTAAAATTTTTTAATAAATTTAATAGTAAGTGTGGAAATGATGTTTATTAGTGTGTGTGTATGCGTGTTTCCAATTATTTGTAATAATGTACGAATACAAATTTTGAACTGTAAGTTCTGCTGACTAGCGTCTACTGGTTAGAATGTCAAATGATTATTAGTATAATGTTATTATTAACCTTTTTATTAAAATTACATAGTTATAATATAATCTTATTTTCACTTGAAATGGGAATTTTAAAAAACAAAAATAGGCGCAGTAATAAAAGGGGGTTAACAGAATCAATTAATAGGTAATATTTAAAACTAAATATCGACTTTTCGGATTATCTGCATATCTAGAGGATTATAGTGCCTAAGAGGAGGGTTTACTCTACTGAGCATTTTGCAGTTATGTTCAATTTTTTGAGGTAATGTTAATTTATTTATTTTTTTTTTTTGAGGTTATCTAAAAATGTCAATGCGGAAAACTCGATAGTTTTATACCCACAGCACTTTTATATACGAATAATTGAATATGATAATTTTCTCCGGTGCTTCTAAAGCACAAAACAGTATTCATAAAAAATTTGGCCAATTTCTTTAAAAAAATTACAGAAAATATATATGTAGATACATATGCGTATCGATATTTCTCGATTTCTATAATTGTTAATAATACTATAATGCATCGAGTACAAATACACTTGTAATAATTTTGGGATATAAATTTTTTTTCACCCCATAATTTTAATAGATTCTCAAAAACCCGAAGTTCTTATATTTTTTGCATTCTATACGTTTAATTCGATTTTAAAAAATTATTTTTAATAGACTCTCAAAACCCCGAAGGTCTTATAATATTTTTCGCACTCTATACATTTGATTCGATATTAAAAAAGAATCGGTACTTTATTTGCGAATCTTTTATAGGGTAAAAGTACTTGATACCGGAAGTGAATTTCCGTTCTTCACTACGAAATTTAAGAATAAATCTAATTTCTTACTACTGTGAATAAGATGTTTATAAAATATTTTTATTTTTAAACCTTAAACAAATATATTTCAAAATTGTATCTAATGAAAATTGTGATAATTTTTTTTTATTATTTTATTAAATATAATATAATATAATTTTATTAGGCATGTTTAATAAAAGTTAATTTTATTATTTTTATTTTATATTATTTTGTTTTATTTTATATTTATTTTATCTTTCCACTTAATTTTACTAAAACATTTTTTTTTGTTAATTTCATTGCAATTTTTCACTTTATTTGATCGTTTCACTTCATTTAGTTTAATTTATGGTTTTATTTAATTTATTGTTAAATTTTATTTAAATATTTAAAATTTTATTTTATGTAATATTTTAATTTTATTTTATTTATGTATACCTTTTTGTTTTAGTTTTCAACTTTATTTATTTTTTATTTTATTTTAATTAATTTTCTTTTTATTTCTTTTATTATTCTCTTTAATTAATTAATTAATAATTATTTTTTATATTATCTTATTTTCTTTTCTTTTATTTATTTAATTTTATTTTATTTCTTTATATTTTATTTTATTGTATTTTTACATTTTTTTACTTAACTTTTTTTGTTTTTTATATTATCTAATTTTTTTCTCTTTTGTATCTATATTTTCGTAATAATTTATTTTATTTGTTTTTTACTTCTGACATTTTTATGCGATTTTATTCATATTTTTATTTCTCTACTCTATTTTTTTGGTTTAAAAATTTAACTTTGAAGAATCTTGCATAGAGTAACCATTTTGAAAATTGGAAGTATGTATTTAAATTTAATTCTAGTATCCCTTACTAATGATTGTTTTTGGGACTGGAGGGATGTTATGAAACATGCAAGGACCTATTTGATGAAATTAAAGCTGAGTGTATGCGTTAAAAATAAAATACTTAATATTAGTCAGGAACTTTCTTAAATTGCATGTGCTAACTTTTCTTATTTTTTTAATTTAATTTTTCTTTAAAGCTCTGGATTTGCCATCTTAATTACGATTTCAGCTAGCTCCAAATTTTGTTTTTAACGCTTACACTCATTCCTTTTCTCCTTCTATGCAACCTGTACCGTTTTCAGACCTCTAAGCGCCCACCAATACAATTACAACTACAACTACAAAATTATTTATACTCTCAACTTGTGTACATACCTTTGCACGTTTCAACAATTCATTTTGGCCAGCGGTAATGTTGTCCTTCTTGCCACCCCATGCTCGCAAGACGGAAGCTTGCAGAGCACGACCGTACGAGAAGGTGAGAGCCCATGGTTTCAGCAATGGTACTTTGTTGATGGCGTTTAAGTGTACGGAAGCCTCTTCCTCAGATTGACCACCAGACAAGAAGGTAATGCCTAGCGATAGAATAGTATTAAATAGTCAAAAGTTTTCTCCAACCTACTCTCTTAGCACAACAACATACCGGGAACAGCAGCTGGTACAGTGCGGCGCAGAGCTTCGACGGTGGCGAGCGCAACTTGATCGGGTGTGTATTTCTTAGCGGACGATTGACCAGCTGTCACCATGTTGGGCTTCAACAGAGTACCCTCCAAGTAGACATGATGATCGTTCAAAGCCTTGTAGACAGCAGCCAATACGGTTTCGGTAACTTTTTGTGCGCGTTCCAAGTCATGATCACCATCAGGCAACACTTCGGGTTCAACAATTGGTACAATACGTTGCGATTGGCAGATGGAAGCGTAACGGGCCAAAACGTTGGCATTCTCCAAGATAGACTGATAGGAAGGTGTGTTCTTGCCAATCTTCAAGACGCAACGCCACTTGGCGAAATCGCAACCGTCTTTCTTGTATTGAGCGCAACGGGCAGCCAAGTCATCCAAACCTGTGTAGAAGAGCAAGAATGAAGAAAGAGATTGAATATTACTGAACTTATTTTTCTTTCAATCTGTATCTCAGCTATTAAATTTTTGATTAAGTCCTGCTTTATTTCTTTAACGAAATGAGGTAGCTCATCAAGCTTTCCCGAAAATCTGTCTTAAATCGCAAACTCAATTTAAGCAAGCATTAAATAAACTTTCCCTCCCCTCTTACCCTGAGTGGTGCATTCGTCTTCGGAGCCGAACAATGGCACAACACCCTTATCGACCTTAATGCCGGGAATGATGCCACGCTTCTTCAACAATTCAACGAATGGTGTGCCATCATCGGCCTTCTGGTACAAAGTTTCGTGGAACAAAATCACACCGGAGATATTCTCAGCGACCTTGGGGTCAGTGGAGAACAATAGCTGACGGTATTGACGACGATGTTCATCGGTATTTTCAACACCAATATCTTGCAGACGCTTGCCCATGGTGGAGACAGACTCATCGGCAGCGAGAATACCCTTGCCGGGAGCGACAATAGCGCGCGCAATGCGGCTAAGCTCCTCCTGTAATTCCTTGGATGGGTAGTTGAAGTAGGTGGTCATTTTGTAGATGTAGTTTTTGTAGTGGTGTTGAAGGAGACTGTAAATAGAAAGCAAAAGAGAGAAGAAATAAGCATAAGTTTAAAGAAAAAATTCAGAAGCTTACGCTAGAGTCGCAAACTATAAAAAAATGTGTTTAAGAAATTTTCGATGTTTTTTTTTGTAATCTTTTATGTTTCTTTTTAGTGAAAAGGCTTTGAAGCTATCTAACTACAACAGCAAGTGAAAGAGAGGCTACACAGATTGTGTACATATGTATGTATAGACAAATGTTGCGTGAGAGTGTTATGTTGCGAGTCAATGTGGCGGTACTTTTGTATGTATGTACAATGTTGCTGGTGCCATCGAAGCATAATGTTGCGAGATATTGTTGCGAAACTTTGATGTTTGTGTGAATGAAAAGCGATGCTTGTATGCGTAGCCTATGTATGTATTTGCATATGTGTGTCTATCAAAGATACCCTGCAGCAAAATTTAGGGACAGTCTGGCAAAGCGCTAGTTCCGCCCTACAAATTTCAGAACTGTCTCTGAACTACTGAAAAAGGGATGCAGAGTTGGACGGTTGAAACTCATATGTTGCTAGTTGCGCTGTCATCAATGTTACTCATCCTGGTCATGTGAAAGCTGACAAAAGATGCACAAATGTAATATACTATATTTTTTCGATTTTCTTAGACCCTAAAAGTAATAACAAACTGTTTTCGTTTATTTAATATGTAATTCTCTACATAGTTTATGGGGCAACTGCTCAAATATTTCCAAAAAAGTCGTTATTGGTACATTAATGTCATTTTTATACATATCTACGTACGTATGTATAAAATACGAATAAAATCATATAAACAGTGTTTTAAAACTTTATACAAAACAAAGTTAAATTTAACGATTTTTCGTCAAAATGTTTGACCTTTTAATCAGATGTAAAAAAATTTGCAAAAGTGGTAAACAATCTCACTTTGAAATGGGAGTGCTATTCATATGAACGATAATGTACATACGTAATTGTATCACTAAGCCCCCGAAATGTGTAGTTATGCATTGATTTTTTTTTAATTTCCAATGTTCTTCATTTTCAATATTTTTCGTTTAGTTTTTATTTAAGTACTATGTCTCATACTCCATAAACCATTTAAATTCAAATTCCTAACTGTGCTGCAAACTTATAGAACTCTAAAAACTGTCTTCAAAATTTCAAATCTTTAATCAGATATTTTTTATAAATATTTCGAGTATTCTGTTTTGTAGCCCATAGAATTTTAGTGTAGTAAAGTGTAATCTTGCATCTTAAACGAAAATATTTAAATAGGAGAATGCCTTCAAGAGCGTGCGTAAAAAGAGTTATAAAAAATCAGCGCGATTAATTATACTAAAATTTAATGGGCTATAGAACTGCATACTTATAAACTCTGATTTAAAATATTGAAGTTTTTATAACAGTTTCTAGAATTCTACTAAATTTCCAACACAGTTAGAAACGTGAATTTATTTGTTTATGTTATAATACTTATGAGCCATCCTTAAATAAAAAATTTACGAAAAATATTTAGCATGAAAACTATTGTGAATATTCACAATTCTATATTTCTTATGAGATACCGGAAAGTCCATGTATTGCATTTCAATAAATTTAATGCAATTTAACGCTGAGTTATCACGAATAATCATTCAATATATCACCGTTTTTCTCATTTTTTGACACGACTTAGTTCAGACTTTTAATTATAGGTATCCCAGAAATACCCATTATACGTAACAAATATAAATCATTTTTAAGAATAACGGTTTTAGAAAATAAAGGAATAATTGACACTTTATGTTCCTAAATTTAAAGCACAGTTTGCGTCAAAAAGTAAATTAGTTCAACAAATAGCTCTTGAAACATATAATGAAGTATTTTTATTTACAAAATTGTTTGCGTGCCTATTTAAAGAAAAGGCTCCATACTATACTTATTAGAACCAGCTCAAAACTAACCACATTTTTTCTGGCCCGGAGGTGACCCTTTTTGAACTATCTAAGAACTGTTGTTATATGAACTGTATCAGAACCATCTAAGCCAGAGTCAGCTCAGAACAAGTTCAAAAGTTCTGCAGAGGGCGACAATTGTCACTTCGTAGGACATCGCCATGTTAAAAAAGACAGTTGCAAGCATTGAGTTGGGATAGATGAAGAACCAGTACCGTCCCTTTTCAGGCTAGCTCAGCGCAAGTTCTGAACCAGTTTGATTTGCTGCAGGGTATCTGCTGTTTGCGCGGTGACGACGTAATATATTTTCCATATGTAAAGGTCAAATCTACTGATAAATACACTTGCATACATACATTTATATATGTTCATATACAGTGGAATTGTTGACATAAGATTACAAATTATTCCCTTTTTTTTGAACTTTGTTCTCTTTTTTTCCACTACAGCGCGTCATATTGATAACGTCTACAGCTGATAACGCATTTTTGGGGTTAATCAAAGTGCAGACAAGCCATAATATTTATAATAAATAAGTGCTGATAAGAGGCATGTAACTCAAATTCTTCTTCGTGGAAAATTTTAAATTTTGTTTTCATTTTTCTGTAGTATTTCATAGTTTCGTTCTTAATTTTGTACATGAGGCGAGAGCCGAACAGTGACAGAGGGTATGTTATATATAGACTGCGGATTTCTATGTAGAAAACAAAGCCTAAATATATGTACCACTTCACTATAAGCACAACAAAGCAATAAGTACATATTTTTTTAGTCTTCGTTTTCTAGAATGCTACACTATTTACAAGCGTTATACCAATTGAAGAGCGGCAGTATTTCATTGTAGAGAGAAACTTTTGTGATTTTTCGGGCTGGACTCCCAAGTCGTTGCTGCTATACCAATGTGAGAGTATGTAAGTTGTAATAAGGAGCTTCAGAGGACGAGGAGGGATTCTAGAAAACTTTTAAACCGGGCTAAGTGTCTGATTATGCATACTTCGCATAACTTCGCACAACCATTTGTACCAGTGCACTAAAAGTGTAACTTAAGAAAATGTGGAGCAAAATCTAAACTCAACAGATCGCTAAGTTTTTAAAAGTTCTGCTAATTTCTGGGTAATGGAATACATACAAAATACATACAAAGTACATACGAAATTACACTTTGAAGTTTATGCGAAGTTGTGCGAAGTCAGACCATAAGATGGACTAGGAATGCTTCACCGGCAGCAGACAAAGATAGTGTAAAAAGTTAATGCTTCACTCAAAGAACACTGCAGTCCTCGTACTAAAAAGCTCAGATCATTAAGCTGGGTTCTCTTAAGAGGCCTGTTGGTTGCCTCACATAACATCTTAATAATAATCTTAAATCATATTATATGCCGCTGTCCTGTTGTCAAATATACGACTAAAATGCTAAGGAGCCTATCAATTCGAGAAGTTAGCAGATATCTCAAAAGAAGAGCTGAAACTACTACTAAAATTCCCAAAAAGCGTTGACATCTATTATAGCGCTCCCACCTTTGGCCGTCGAAGTAGTCACCGTTGGAAATCAAGCCATGATTGGGAGGGCTTTAAGGGAGTGCTGGTCGGCCAAAAATGTCTGCTTCCTCTCTTGGAAGAGGATTAAATATAATGTCGAGTACTGTTTTCTGTATGCATCGTATTGTGTTAGTTCCGGCAATTACATATATGAAAAGAGTTTCGTTCATCAAATAAATAAGGGTTACATTAAGTTTTAAAAACTTTTTTTTTTTTTAAATACGTTACTCTGTTTAAAAACTCTGAGAGATTCATATATGTATGTATGTATGTAAATGTATGCATGTATCTCAAAAATACACAATTAATGTTTAGAGGTTTTATTTTTTTATTGAAAATTAAGCCACTTTTTATTTTTATCATTTTCACCACAAAATTATTTGTAGTATATGTATATAAAATGTTCCTATGTATGTATACGTATGTAGATATGTTTTAGCTATGGTCTGCTCATACTCTCTGCACTTAAAAATTTCCACACAATATTCAGCTGCTAAATTGTTCAGTAAAATTCATTTTTTCCTACGGAAACTTAGTCAGATATTTTAATTTAATTTAATTGCATATATTTATATTTCCATATGTTTGCAAAGCATCAGTATATCATCAGTATATTTGGATCACTACTAAGAATACATAACACTTATTTAATTTAAAAAAATATATAGGTACAATTTTTACACGCACCACAAGAAAAGTCGACCGATTCAGACGAAGCACCGCACAGATACTGAATGAAACGTTCAGCACTGGAGCAACCAAAAGTTCTACACTCAGCCGAGCAAATATATATGTATGTATGTATTTATGTACCCAGCTAGCACATTTGCCAGACAATTTCTGATATCAGACAAGTCAGAACAAAAAGTTGACTATTTAGACAAGTATTACAGGTTTTGTACAGATTTCTGGGCGAAGTGTCTGTAAAATTTTTTTTATTTCCTTATCCGATATGTCTGATCGAATTATGTCCGATGTTTTTTGGTCAAACAACTGTTAGATATGTGTTAGAATCGTCGGTGATTAAGTCAGAATTTCCCACGTCGTGTCGGTTAGACTTCCTGTCAACCTCTCCACACGCTTCTCTGACCGATATCGGTCAAAATCATACATATTTCTGACTTTTTGCCGACGAGTCTGACGGATATCTAACAGATTTCTGGCAATTTTGCTAGCTGGGTATATGCATACATGCATACGTATGTACATTAGGGTGGTCCAAAAAAAAGGTGGTCCGTATTTTTTCTTTACAAAACATATACTTAGAACCACCTCAAGGCCCATGAAGTTTTCCTTGCAGTTTGTAATTAACACTTCTTCCAAGAAATGGTGTAGAATTCTTGAAAATCAAAATTTTTCAATCGAGAGATTTTCGAGATCTCTCTACAATTTCTATGAAAAAATGGGTAGAGGGGAAAAAGTACATAAAATGCATGGAAAATTTCATGGGCTTCGGGGCAGTTCTAAATATCTTCTTTTTTTTAAACGGGTATTCTTTTTTCCTAGGCATGAGAGCTTAACATTTTCAATTTCTT